AGATCCATCCACAAGACCAGCTCTGATACAGGAGAGGATACAGGGAACATATGGATACAACATAACGTACAGGAAGGCCTGGAAGGCAAAAATGAAGGCCATCGTTAAGTTGTTTGGTGACTGGGAGAAATCGTACGCATTCTTGCCAAATTGGCTGAAGTATATGACGGAGGTGAATGTGGGTTCTGTGTTCAAACTTGATACAAATCAATGTTTTGATGAACGTCGGGTTTATACAGACAGGGCCGTATTTCAAAGGGTTTTTTGGACATTTCACCAATGCATTGAAGCATTCAAACACTGCAAGCCTGTAATTCAAATTGACGGCACTCATCTGTATGGGAAGTACAGAGGTACTCTATTGATTGCAACATCTCAGGATGGAGATGGATTTCTGCTCCCTATTGCCTTTGCTGTTGTTCCTCCAGGTGAGTAAATAATTGCTGCTCCCTATGACAAAGTCCCCTTCCAGCACCTTTGAGTGATTATGCGGGCGCTGGAAAATAATATGTGTCACCACATAATGAAGAATGCGAGCAGAAACTGACAAGTTGCTAACAGGATAATGAGCAAAATGACCGGGCTCAGCGTCTGCCCTCCTAGTCTCTGTAACAATGGTCTCCCGGTTATAATCACCAAATATATGATGGCTGTCTCCATCATATAGTGCTGCTCCTGTGACACCATCAAAATCGAACCCCAGTAGCTCCGTCCAGATAGGAGCAGTCATGATGATATCAATCCCGCAGACACGGGAAGTCAGCTCGCCTTGCGAGTAGCCAAGGTTCTGGTAGAAGGCTCTTACCATAACCTCCGAGTATGGGCACCGCATCTCCGCCAGGTGAAGTAAATGTGTCTGCTCAAGAAGCGGCACAATGTCAAAACGCTCTAGGTTGAAGAATGCCGAATCCAGTGATTTCGGTTCGCAGATCTTCCGGGTCATGAAAAACTTCACGAACTTCTCGTGTGAAGGTATGTCATCCTCAAACAAATATCCGAACGTCAAGTCCGGAGCCTGACTCGAAGCAGCCTGGGGCTGAGAGGATGACGACCCATCGTGACGACTCTTGGTTCTTCTCTCGGAATGGGTCACTGGCAGCTTTGAAACGCGTCGAGAGGTCATTGTGTCACACTATTAAACTGAAAAAATAACCAAAATCAGAAATTAGATACATGTTAGGGTTAGGGTTAGGGTTAGGGTTAGGGTTAGATTCAGGTTTAGGGTTAGGGTTAGGGTAAGCGTATGACATACAAATTGATAAAATAATTCGGACAGAATCAAATGATATAAACGAAAATACAATGAATCAGAACAGAAATCATAACATAATTGAAAAAACTGAAAAAAAAATGCACCTTTGATCGATTTCAATCGGTAGAAGGCAGAGAGGTTGCAAGGTCCGCGAATGATGATCAGAAACAAGACGAATTGGTGCAAGATTATGCCTGAAATCGCTCAAGAAGACACTCCTCCAGCAGCTCTACTCGGGTACCCCTTTTGTGGGTTTTCGAAATGGGGCTGCTGGGGTATTTTAAAACCCTACCGTCGATGTTTACCCGGGTACACTGCTCCTTACCCGGGTAAATAATTCAACCATTTTCCCAGATTCAAGAACTCTACCAGGGTACACCCCTACATACTCGGGTAGATAAAAAGTTTCAAAATTTACCCGGGTAGGTAATGGTGTACCCGGGTAGGCTTCGTGGTCAACGGTCAAACAGGGGCAGATTGGTGTTATGTTTGTTGGGGAGGGTAAATTTTCGAAATAGTTTTGAATGAAGGGCAATTTGGTAATTAGTTATTAATTAAGGGTTATAAGGGTCAAAAAGCCAAACTATGACAGCAGTCTATCTATCTAGATTACTAACAAATAAACACGTGGACTCCTATTTTTAATGATTCACTTAACTGCTACTGCAACCTCTTGACAAATAACGGCTGTTAAAACTGCTCAAACCTGCATGCATATATATATATGGGTCAGGATCATTTTACACCTGTATATATATATATATATATATATATATATATATATATATATATATATATATATATAGAGGTGGGATCCTTTGACACCGGTGTCAAATTTAAAGTTTGACATCTCATCTGAGAGCCGTTAGATCAAAAAAGATCAATGGTGTCACATGCTTATAAATCAGAGTCGTTGATCTTTTTTGATCTAACGGCTCTCAGATGAGGTGTCAAACTTCAAATTTGACACCGGTGCCGTCAAAAGATCCTACCTCTATATATATATATATTGATGGCTCTGAAGCCATTGCATTATGAGTCATGCTAAATGAATTGATGGGGGTAAACCACTAGAAAAATTATTACGGGATTCTAGCAGAAGCAGAGCCACATTCTAAACGCAAGTTTCAGAGTATAATTATTTTGATTTCATTTCATACAATTTTTACTTATTAAGGTACTGGTCCTTATTTTCCATAAAAAAAATTGGTGCTTATAGTTTCTAATTAAACACACACACACACACAAAAGTAAAATTGCCATTTTTTTAAAATTTCTTTCCACACAATTCAAACTATATTGTATTTATAACAGGAATGTTATATTTACTATATTTTTAGCCTTACTAATCTTACTACCTTATTATTTATCATTCGATCAATTTGAAATTAACAGTAATAATTTTTTTTCAAGCTAAAATGGTAGTAAGTATAACCGTCCCCTATTTATAATATAAAAACCTTAATTTAAAACAATTGAGATTTTTCTTTTTTAAAAAAAAGAGAGCCATACAATAATCTAGGGGTGGTAATTCAGGTCGACACGACACGAATTTAAAATCGGGTTAAAATCTTTAACACGAACATGACTTACTTATGTTGCGGGTTGACACGACACAACACGATACGAATAATTCACAAACTCATAATATATCTCTTGTTATGCGGGTTAACATGACACGATAAGACATAAATATCCTATTTACAACACAATACAAATAACATGTAACAAGACATATGATACGATACGAATTTTTTCGAATCCGTTTTTATCATGTTTAAACACGATACAAATTTGAAAATAGATAAATCCAAACATCAATTTTTGGTGTGTTCATATCAACATATCGTGTTGAAAATCATCATCCTAGTGGAAAAACCCAAGGGGGCGTGCTTTAGCTCACATTATCCAAGATTCGCATCTCATTTCGAAATGGATGGAGGTGAAGTTTACGTAATGGAAACTGGTCGCAATGTGGTGCAAATGAATAGCGCACGTGGATTCCCTTTTTTTCTTATAACAACCCAAACCGGTCAAAATTGTCTTGCATTTTAAATTTGCCAGTTAAAAAATATCAAGTTGGATTTTGTTAAAGTAATTCTTAACAGTGTATTTTATGCATCGGATATAGTATTCAAACTTTTATGTTCTTAAATGGTTGGCCTTATACTCACATCACATGGACGCTCAATTTGAAAGATGCCCAAAATTTTTCAATCTTAAATTTGTCAACCGTCTTTCTCGACTTATCAAAGCCATCACGAGAACTAACATTACTTATCATTGCAAATTTTGTCTAAGATCTTAGGACCTATTTGCAAATGAAATTTAGTGCGTTGTAGAACATTAAAAAAATATGAAAAAATTGTTGCACTTTATAAATAATATTAAATATTAAATTCTTTAATTTTATTTTTTTATACCAATTTATTATAAGAAAGTAGATTGTCTAAAGAATCTTTTGACGCGACTAGGTTATATGCTAGTTGTTTGGTTAATTCACCATATTATCTTTTTTTAAAAGAAAATTATTAATTTATTCTACTGTTAAAGTTATGTATCATTTTATCTCGTTTGATCAAAGTTGACTGAAATGACTCCACTTTAAAGTTAAATTTTACAGATGGTATGATCTCATTTGCTGTTAGATATTTACTCTAATAAATAAGACATTTACTTGAGTAAATTTCGGACAAAGGACATTAAATTAACACTAAATTAGAAATAGATATTAAATAAAAAATTATTAAATTCATTAAGTCATGTAATATTTAAAATATTAAATAATTCTTAATTATCTACCGCAATCTTTTGCAATCCATGAAAATTAAAAATTCAAAATCATTATTAATAATAACCAATCGATTATTGATTTATTTTTCCTATGCATTCAGAAAAATTCAATCCATTAGATAATTATTTTTTGCAAATAAAAAAATTGAAAAAAATCAATAATTATATTGTTATTATTGATAATAAATGTGGCATTTTTTAATTTACGGTAATTCAAAATTTAATTCTCATTTATACAATAATATTTAGAAAGTTCGATGAATTCAAAAAAATTAAATTTATTATTAATAACGCTAATTTGACTAATACCAATTTGATGCCATGCTGGATCTAATATCATTTGCATTATTGAGTTTTCACTTGATCTCGCTATACGCATAGAAAAAGCAGAGTGCAGCACCAAAGAGAAGTCAAGGACTCTAGAAGCTTGCACGCTATGAAACTTGATTGCAGGAGCAACTCGATTTACATGCATAAAAAAGGATTTTTATTAGTTCTGAATAAATGTATTTTGCGTCTTTATATCCAATAATCCTAACAATAAAAATTTACCAAAAACATTAAAAAAGATTGAGTATAATGTTATTTTGTTTTTCTTATTGATTGTAGACGGCCCTCTTTCCCTTTCTTGATTTTGAATTCAGTACAAGTCTTAAGTCTATTTTCAAATGTTATTATTATTAATATTTTCTCAGTAACATATCAAACATCTTACTCAAGTGTTAAAAGACTTGACAATCAAATGAATTATAACGTCGTAAACTTATGAAATGTTATCTTAGTTGTATCTTTCACTTGCCAATAATATTCTTCAAGGCGTTTATGTTATCTGTTCCCTCTTAACACTTGTCAACTGGATGGAAATCTTTATGGATCAAATCATAATACATTCAATGCATTAGAATCGCAACTTACACACAATAAGGAAGCTTCAAATGAAAAAAATTGACCATAAAGCAAAATTATCATTTTTATTTCATCAAAGCTGAAAGGTGTATCTCCAAATATATGAAAAATACTTCACTCTTGCAACAGTTCAGGGGCGTCTCTAGCTAACGCTTAACAGAGACAACCATTAACATAAACACAACCAAAGTGGAACAAAAAAGTAAATTTACCCAAAAAAAAAAAACTAAAAATAATAAATAAAGCAGCATTGTAAAAAACGCTTAATTCCCCACAATTTTAATTTGATTCATTAATGGGAAGAAATCTTCAGGTTGAGGGACTTGTTTAACCAAGCCTTCCAACTACCACTTCCCCTGCGCGAAAGTGGTGCAGTCCCACTTCCATCATCAGCTGCCTCATTCGTACTCTGTGGCTTCTTGCATAGCATGAAATTCCGAGCTCCATGTGATCCAATTGTATCCCACGGACTCAAAGCTGCAACAACAACAAACCACAAATTTACAACTTATCCAAATAGAAAGTTCTTCTCAATCACAAAAGAATCCATATATTTTTGTTTGAAAGTAAATGCTTACACAGTTTCAGCCAAAGATACTGGTTTTTACTAAATTAAAAATTCTCAAAAATTCATGTGAAAGTCCAAATTTTAACCCCTAAACCACATAATTGAGCAATTCAACCCGATAAGAAAATATTAGCCAATAATGACAACTCTTCTATGCAATAGTCAAAAAGCTAAAAAATCATAGGCCAAACACATTCCTCAAATGTTCAAGCTAAAAAATTCTAATTGCAAGATTGAAAAATAGGAAAATGCAATAAGGAAAGCATCATAAACCTCCTATTGTGTAGGTATACATTAAGTAGCCTTAACTTTACATTTACAAGAGATACATAAAAAAGCTCCTACTTGTAGTATAGGTCCATCAAGGGTAAGGTAAGACCCATTGTGAGGGTATATACTATTACTTAAGTAACCTTACATTTGCAAGAGGCACATAAAAAATGCTATAAAAACTCCTGCTATGCAATGAAATATATATTATATACTAAGTAGCCTATTTTAAATATGAATCAAATCTATAACCTCAGGTAACATGGCATAAACTCCAACATTTGTGCCTAAAGCACTATGGATACAAAATTGACTACAAACTAATGATTTCTCATTTTTGCAGCAACAACAGTTGAGAAATTTTACAGTAAGTATATTTATACTAAGATCGGCATGCAAATACTGACTTTCTATGTGTTATTGTAAAATTTCTCATCTGGGGTGAATATATTTGCCATAAACTAATTGCAAAAGATAAAAAGGGGTTTCTATGATTAAAGGGGAAATTACCATCAGATCCAACATTGGGACAATAGAGAGAGAAACCGCTATTATCACCCCCCAAAACGGGAAGCCTACCCTCACGAGCATAAGATTTAAGGGCGGTGTCGATCACCGCCGCCACGAGCTCCTCCTCATTCACAACGAATCGAATTGGGCCAGCGCTTCCCATCACATTTATGCTAATCAATAGCCTCTTGCAATTGGCAGCATTCTGATTCTTCTTCTGCTTACTCAGCAACATCGTCTCACAAATCCAAAACAAATCAAAAGAATTTCTTTTTTTCAAAAAACAAAAAAAGAAAGAACGAAATTTCACAATTAGGACCCAAAATCCCGAGATCTATAAATCAGAGAAACAGAATGTTGAATTCCGAGAACGAATTTTGTGGGGGGACAAAAAAAAAAAAATTGAAAATGGTGATGAATATTGCGGGGTTGGGTCCGATTTATTGCGATCTAGATTATTTAGGGGTCGACGCCGAGGCAGCGATAATACCAGCCTTGCTTGCAAGAACCGAAAGCGAAGAGAGAGGAAGCAGAAGGAGGAAGAAGAAGAGCGCTCGCCCTTGATGGCAAAAGGGAGCGCATGAAATCGAAGATGAACAGGGTTTCCACCATTCACAACGAACTTGGAAGATCTGAAAGCGAAATTGGAGAATTTTGGAAATGGCGATGCCAAAAGGGTTAAGGAGGTATTTATTTAAATTGAATTTGGGATTAAATGTTAGGTAAGGTTATAGAGCCGACGGGTTTGTGATTATTATTATTATTATTACGATATTTGAGAATTTGTTGTAATCGTACGTACGGATAGAGATTGCGCAATAATGTGGGATTATTTAGATAATTTTTATTTTGTAAATTCATGTATGAAATTAAGATAATAGAGTTCTGATTACCAAAAAATAAAAAAATAACAGAGTTCAAATAAATGTCACGTGTTCCTAATTTTTCTCAGAGAAATATCTATGGTACTACTACTCCTTCACTCAGTACATCTCTCTAATAAAAAATGAAGAATATCTGTCATCAAATATCACTTATTAAATGATAGATGTACCTACTACAGATGTATAGAAGATGATATCCACTATAAGTATTAAGATCTTGGCGTACATGTCTCGGTATATAATGTCACATGTTCCTAATTTTCCTTAGCGTAAGTATTAAATAATAAGGTCTTAACGCACATGTATAGTATTCAAGTAATTCAACAATAGACTACAAGGCGTAGATATAGGTACAATATATGTTCCAGGCCCAAGTCGTTATAGGTGTTCTGTCTTGGATTTAAGTGAAGTGCGATCACCTCGCACCACCAATGAGGCTTAACCTGGTATTGACTATGATGGTAGCAGCAGCCGTTTAACATTATCACAGTATACACCAATGAACTTGTGTGAGATTTGAGTTGTTACTAGCTCTTATCATAGTCATTGAATCTTGTTGATATAGTGGTTGTTGTTGCCGTGGAATGAAGGGTAATATGCTTTGATGCTCCAGTCAGAAAGCGTGGGAGGGATTAGAGTACCTTGTTAATTAAGAATGAGCATCCCATTATAGTTAATTTTGGAAGAGCATTCCTATAGATTACGTTGAATGTATTATGTATACATGCCCTCTCACATAGAAGTGAGAGATCTAGAATAAAAAAAGGTAATTTGAGCTTTTCATAAGGGAAAATCCATTAATTACCTAACTATTTTTCGAAGTGGGCCTTGGGGGTGCTCTGTTAAAGGAGTTTTGTTGTTCCCAGTTGAAATCAATGGGCTTGGAAAAAGTAAGTGTGAATATTTGGGCAATACATCAAGGCCGGCCCTTGCCTCAATGTAAAGATCCAATTGATGTCTTTGACATTATCTCTTACCCTACACAATCAAAAAATAGTTTCATATTCTAATTCCATAAACATATATGCATAGAAACATCACAAATAGGGGTGTTAACAGGCTGAGCCGAGCCGAACTTTGGTCTTAAAAGGCTAAGCATGTGTTTAAATGTGCCAACCTGATCAAGCTTGTTACCTGTTATGAATATAATTATCGGCCTGTGGTCTGACTTATTTACAAAAAATAAAAGCCTAATTTAGCCTGTTTAAAAAAAAAATAAGACAACAAAAATTTATCCAAACAAAATGTACCATCCACAACACTAATAATTTCATAAAAATTCATAAATTCAATGTATATCCAAACAGTATAATATAGAACAAAATCATTCAAAAAGTCTATTTAACCAATAAAATGATGTGAAATTGATTGAGGAGAAAGAGAGGACTATTACAAGTAATATAAAAATATAAAATAAAAATATAAAATAATATATTAGGCCAGCCTGAGAGGCTCTAAGGCTGAACTTTTGAATGAGAGCCTAAGACCTTTTTGTTAAACGAACTTTTATACAAGTTCAAGCCTGGTGCCAACAATCAATTTTAGACATGTAAGCTCAAGCATTTACGAGCCGAGCCAAAGACTCCTGGTTCGTTTAGCACCCCTAATCACAAACAAGGAAATCAGTACCTTAGATTTGGTTTCCTTGGGAATAATATAGTTGTTAAAATCTTTTTGATCACTCACTTAGGGGGTGTTTGGTAGAGGAGATATTTTTTTTACCAGGTAAATGCAATTACTAGGAATATGGTAGAAAAATGAGTTTGATAGAAAAGTTAAAAAAAAATTGTTTGGTTGGTGAAAATTTTTCCGAAAAAATTGAGTTAGAAGAGGTAGTATTGTCATCATTTTTGTCACCTTTTTCCTACTTGCCAAGCTATGCAAATACCATGTTCAAATTGGTAAACTTCAATTGTGCATTTTTGCACTTATTCTCAATTGCTAGACAAAAGAGATTGGTGGACAAATTTTTATAAACCCTCTACCAAACAAAGACAACATCAATTCCCAAACTCAAATGGATGGGCATCTCCACCAAAAACTTCAACCAAACACTCAAGGTTTTTTGTGGTTCTTCTAAGAAAATATATTACTTATTGGTCATTACTCTTTCTAAATTCATACGCACAATCATATATGATAACAAATTAGTATGCAAAAATTCCCTCTAAAATTAGATACTACTAAGCATAATAATATATATATATAACATAAATAGATTTACAAAAGTATTAAAAAAAGAAAAATTGAAATAATATTTCTTTCAAAATTAAAGACTATAACATATTGACGTACATTTCACTTAATTACATAAACCTATTATATTAAAACATAGAAATTCAACTTATCAAATATCCCCTTAAAACATAAAGGAAAAAAAAAAGCCTTATGTTGATATCTAGATAAAGGCAAATAAAAAAAATGCATTCTTATATACAAAATTCGTAAATATTTGCGATCGTGCAACCTTGTAGGAATAGGAGAGGCTGTAAGCCACGAAAAGAGTCTTGATACACCAGGATCACAAATTCCATTACCTGCCAATTTTGCTTTTTCTTTCAAAAGCATTTTGTTTTGAACGAGCATAATTCGGACACGTGAAAAGCAATGTACGTAAAATAAGATTGATATCTAAAGATTCCTTTAGTAGGGTCCACTTTTCTGCTCCGTGCCAAACTTTTCATACGTTAATTTGACTCATTGTAGCTCTCAAACTTTGTTCAGTTTTTATGGTAAACATCAAACCCTATCTTTTGTTCTGTTAGTAACAAGGGTTCCAGGCAAATCTCCGCAATCACAAGTTGTGCTACGATGGACAGTATTCTGGTTCTGGGTCTTCTCAAACTTCGTATTAAAAGAGGCATTAATCTCGCAATTCGAGATTCTCGTTCCAGTGACCCTTATATCGTTGTCAACATGGGCGAACAGGTTAAGACCTTGCAATTTAAGGGTCTCAATTCTCTTCTTTTTCTTTTGCTTTGAAGATGTCCTTGACTTTACAAAAAAATAAAATAAATGTCTTTGATGAATAGGGTTGTTTGTGCTGAGAGCTGGTGTTCTTCTTGATGAATTTGGGAAAACAACTGTTTTTTTTTTGCCTCTATTTCCTCAAGTTTTCCTTTATGAGATTTTGTCAATTGTGATTTTGTTTTGTTGGGTCTCATTAATGGGAAATTTATGATACAAAAAAAATCCTCTTCCCCAACTGATTATAACTATTTACTTTGGGGAAATATGTATTTATAATAATTTTTTTTATTCAAAAATTATTGGCTGACTAGATAGAAAAAAAATAAAATTTATATCATAATTATAATTTTTTTTACAACGACACTAAATAAGAGTAAAGTATCTTTTGAGTCTTCAACAAAAATTATGCGATTTATTTTAATTCTTTAACAAAAAAAAAAGTTGACTTGTAATTCTTCTGAAATTTAAAATAGATTCAGTTAGTCAAAATCGTGGTCATTCTAAAATTTAAAAAAGACCTACATTAGTCCCTCAAAAGAATTAACATGGGTCTATTTTTAATTTTAGAGAGACTACAAGTCAATTTTTTTTTCCCTAAAAGATTAAATTGAGCTCTATAATTTTTGTTGAGGATTTTACTCATAAAACTATTAAAATGTCTTTACTTAATAATTTGAACTTTTAGGTTAGATGATTGTTTATCGGTATAGGTTTTGCAATATTTGTTTATGTGCTTAGATCAGCACCAGACTTTTTTTGTTGTTGTTGTTGATATATGCACTATACTTTTTAACATCTGAGAAATGTTGTTTTGGAATTATGGCTTTTATTTAACACTCCAATTTTTTGTTCACAGAAAGAAAGAAAAAAAAAGCTCCAATTTTTATGTGGGTGGAGAAATATCTTTCGGGGATGTAATTTGATTAGCAAAATCATTTGTTGAATTTTATGGAGGTTTTAATTAATCATGAATAACAAGATCAAAAGACAGAGATGACACTGGATGTATATTCAAAACAAGTTATTGTCATTGTTGCTTTTGTTGTTTTCAATTTAGCCATAGGGATTCAAGTGTAATGCAAAATTGGATACCTTCTATAAGTACCTTGAGACTACAACCAAGCTAATTCAATAGTAGAAATTAGCCTCATACACAAGGACAAGGTGCAGGAACACCTCATGTTTTTAGAAACCCCATATTTCATGCTTTAAAATATATTGAAAATGCACGACAAAATTCTTGAACAATTCAAACTCAGAGCCTTGTCTTTGAAGGAGATATATAACTGAACAATCCTGAAGATTTATTTCATGTTGATGCAGAAGCTGAGGACTCATGTGGTGAAACAGAACTGCAATCCTGAGTGGAATGAAGAATTGACCCTTTCTATAAGGGATGTTAATACTCCTATACATCTGGTAAGTACTTAATTAAGCTCAATGATTCTTATCCTTCTAAGGGCTATCACTATAGCACAAGAATAGAAAAATGCTTACTTGTTGATGGCTTTGCACTTTGGTTTTTCTCTGCAGACAGTTTATGACAAAGACACTTTCTCTGTGGATGACAAAATGGGTGAGGCAGAAATAGACTTAAAACCATATCTTGAGTGTGTAAAGATGGCGATGGAGTTGGAGAAACTCCCACATGGTTGTGCAGTAAAGAGGATTCAACCAAATAGGACTAACTGTCTTGCTGAAGAGAGTAGCTGCATTTTGCAAAATGGAAATATCATCCAAGACATGATTTTAAGATTGAGAAATGTTGAGCGTGGCGAAATAGTTGTGCAAATTGAGTGGATTGATGTTATAGGTTGCAAGGGCTTATCAGAGGTAGAATTTTAAGGTATATATATAGGGTTCTATTAATTTCCTGTTATTGAAAAAAAGTTAGCTGCAGCTGACACATGCTATTCAGGATGTGGTTCCGTATCCTGAAAAGCATGTGACTATTGCACGAAACAGTATTTTTGCCGTAGCTAAAGAGACATATTTCCTATATATATAAAGCATTGAAACCTTTTATATGGCCTCGTGCTTTATGCAGTGGTTAATGTATTGTGATATTATGTATAATGCTAAGAGGACTCTGTAATTTTTCTTATGGAGTGAGACATATATAGTAGTTAGTAAGTTTCCAAAATATTTTTGCATGATGACAATCCGTGCAAGTAATCAAGTATCGAAATATGTATATACAATCTTATCTTGATAAGCGTCATGAATGTACTTATTTTGACATTGTAAATAATTCTTCTACACATCAACATTTTTACCTAGTCTACTATTTGGTTATTGATGAATTAATTATTCAGACAAAAAAAAAATTGTTGACCAAATTATAAGCTTGACAACAAAAAAATAAAAAAAGAAACTTAAATATCAAATAAAAATTCAACCTCAAGAACTAAAATATTCTTAAAATCAAACAATATCATCTAAACTTGCATAGTCTAAGAAAAACAAAGCTTCTCAACACATAAAAATAAAAGTACTATAATATCAAATATTCACTTAAAATAATGAAATAATTTATTTAGATGGAGATCAATGAATATATCAAGGAGTTTAGGGTTTAGAGATGAAAACTGAGAAAATGTAAGACCAAACTCATTTTAGGGATTTTTTTTTTAAAGAAAAATATAACTCAAGAAGTGAATTCGCTCCGTGCTGTGCCCAACTCATTTTATCCCATACTTATGCGGTGTAGGTTAAAATGGATTAACAAGTTTATAATTACAACCTAACCCTTCAAATTTAATGATTTAAAGGGGCAACCATCTTATTGAACTCATTTTACTAGCTCTAATTAAGTGTAAGGAAAAAGAGGAATATAATGGAATTCCATTATAAAAGGATGAAGTTGTTAGATCATGGTCCTTTCTTCTTATCGGTCTCCTTTCCTCCTACTCTTCCTCAATCTTTTTCCGCTACAAATCAGCTTATACTCATCGTACGATATTAGCGTACTACTAAATAAGAGTATGGTAAAAATATCCTATTGTTAGGTTATTTGACTCATTTGGGATCTTTGACTCTTAATATTTCAATTTGGTATTGAATTGATATATTTTATCATTTGGGATCGTTTAATTCCGCAAGGAGCCTAATGGATTTGAGTTCTGCCCCCACCTCTAGCGAAACTCTTGTTTTTTTATTCTTCAACCAGTTTCGCTCTCTCCCCTGTTGAAACCGATTTTCATTTTCTTTTCTTTTTGAAAACCTCTTTAATGCAATTTGATTTGTAGTCAAGTGAGCTTCGTTCAATTGCAGAACTCCGGAATGTTAATTCCCTCTCAGCCAATGGCGGAAATAAAAAAATTTATTTATATCTACATAATTAATGGTGGGGTTCGGGAGCAATGTTTCTGAATTTTTTTTTTAAATATACTATGAATAGTTTTTTTTTTAATAACCATAAAGTAAGCCTCTTGAAATGGGAATTTTTTTGATGCTCCAGGCCCATGTGGTCCTTCCATTCAGGGAGTGTCACATAGACAAAAATTTATTTTTTATTTCTCTTATCTTCTCTCTCCTCGATAGTTGTCTAATTTTGATTGGTTCGAACCACTTAGTTAATGGTGATTTGGGACCACCGAAATTCTTTTCCTTCTAAAATTCTAGTTATAACTTTGTATCTCCTTTAAAATATTAAATTTTTAATGGATGTGATATTTAACCAAATGAGATAATGAATATACAAGAATTGAGGCAGCCAGAGGAAAGTTGATACAATGAAATGATCATCGAGTATTTGTTCTCATTGACTACTTTTTTTCTTTCAAAAGTTAGTTAGTGCACACACTTGCAACAACGTAGGTCCGCTAGTGCTCTGAGCATATAAAGAAACCAAAGGTTAAATAGATGAACGAGTATGAGGGATGATAGAGAAGTTAGAAAGACATGGTTGTACATACCTTAGATACAAACTCAGTTCAGCTCAGAAGTTGCGAGAGAAAGTGAAATGACAGTGGTGCATGGGATTAGAATAGAATTGTCAGTCACGAATTGGTAATTATTGTTAAAGTGCAGACTCCCTTTCTGCTTTTAGATCCAAATGTTTTAGTTCCAATTCACTACATTTTAAGCCACAAATGATGTAGTTCACTAGTCGTCGAGATCCTTGGTGAAAACTGCTTCACTTCTTATTTAGGCAGTGACAAAGAAACACAAGAAAAAGGGAAAAAAAAATGAAAACCAGTTTCGCCGGGTGAGGGGGTCAGAACTGGTTGGAGGAAGAAAATAAAACAAAAGTTCCACTAGGGGTGGGGGCAGAACTCAAACCCACTGAACTTCCTCCGCAAAATTAAACGACCCCCAATGGTAAAATATATTAACCCAATATTAAATTAGGGAAATATTAATCTTATGCAACGTAAGATAACATCTTTTTCCTACATATTTATTGATTTTCGTGTAGTTTAATTTTTATTTTTTTATTTTTTTATTTTTTATAAGTGAGTGGGCTCCACCCATGATTGTGTCTACAATAGAAGATAACTACCCTCCTACAACATGAGATTAGGAAACCTCATTAAATTAAGGGGTAAAAGATCCCAAATGGGTCAAAGATCCCGATTGTTATGTTGTTATTATTGTCTCACTATTATATTCTGATGCTTTCATTGCATGGCTGATAACACTTACATGAAAGAATTAACTACTAATATGCAGGTGTCATAAAGAATTAGCCACTAAAGTGCATGTATCACAACCAACCCCGATGGTGTTGTACAATTAATATTATTTTAAAAATAAATAAATTAATAAAATCATCATTAATTTTATTTAAATAAAAAATTAAATACATTTTTATATTGAAAACAAATCTTTGTAATTGATATTAGGTTTAAGAGTCATAGAAAGACAAAAACTTAATCCCACAACACCTTCTATACATTTATTTAAAAATTGATTGAGCAACTATTAAAAAATTTAAAATATTTTTTATTTTTAACAGTAAAAACAAAATAAAAATGTAAATAAGATGATTACAGAAAAAATAAAAATAAAATAAAATTACATAAGATGATTACACAATATATGCGGTCCATAGAAAAAGTAAAAAGAAAGAAAGAAAGATAAGATTATAAATATCCTAACTTTTCATGGAAGAGGAAAACAATTATTTAAATCTCAAGCCTTCTATAAAAGAGCCAAACAACAATAAAAAAAAAAGAGAACTATAAAAACTAGGTAAATAATCATAAGCCTTCTATGGTGGATAATAAAAAGAAAAGAAAAGAAAAGAAAATATTACATAAATCAAATCGTAAGAGAATCCACAAAAGGGGCATGAATCTATTAACTAAGGAAGAGAGTGATCTCAAAATATTTCCTCTTAAAATTTTCATGTTCAGATGTCCTTTAATTCAATTTATAGAGAATTTAGAATAATTATTGTGACATTTTATTTTCAAAAGTTCTCTCTCTATTCCCCTAATGTAAGTAGAGTTTGTTTGGATGAATTTTTTTCTTCAAAAGTTATTTTTTTTAAAATAATTTATTTTTACTGCAATCAAGTGTTTGGATATTTCCTTTTAAAAAAGAAAAAGTAACAAAAAAATAATAATAAAAAATCAGCTTTTTTTAAGTTAAAATTTTTAACTTCTAAAAAAAAACGAAGTCGAAAGTAAAATATGTTTTTTTTTTTTCAAAGTTCAAATTTGTTCCAACCCCAACCAATCTCACCTCTCACGCCGTTATCACCACTATTGTTGCTGCTATTGCCGTCATCATCATGACCATTGCCATCACCACCACGTTCCCCACACTCTGCATCTCTACCATTGCCACCTCCTTGACATCATCCATACCACTACCGTCGTCACCCCTCCACCACTATCACTCTGTCACCGCCTACACCACCATTCCTCATTGCCACTACGATTGATGCTGTAACCAAATTTACTCCCATAATTTATTTTCATATTTCCTTTTTAATAATATTATACTTAAAAAATACTTTTTAATTTTAATATCCAAATAATATATTTATTTGAATGTGCTTTTCACATACTATATCCAAATGTAAAATTACTTTCACTTTTGAAAAAAAATTATTCTAAATAAACAAAGACATAAATAATTATTTTTACAAAAGTCCTTTAACGGACCTGAAACCAACAAGATGATGCTATTTGAAAACGTGTTCTTCATGGGAATTGTATCCCTATGTTAACTTTTCAATGGTGCTGGTCTCCGCTCGAAAAGAGGTTTTAGTTTGAGATGTGGGCCAATTATTGTTCACAAGTCCAGTTCTTGACTTTTCTTGCAGCCCAATTTTCAACATTAAAACGATGTAATTTGAAAAATATTTTTGTACGAGTTATAAACGTGTATGTTATCTTTTCAATGGCTTCGACCTCCGCTTGATACGAGTTCTATAGTTCCACATACCAGTCAATCACTATTCACTACTCATGCATTCAGGTGATTACATTCAAATTCATTATGTTTTAAATAAAAAAGAAGTTTAAAAACTTTTATATTAAGAAATGAAGTCATTGTTTAATGGATTAATTAATTATTTATGTAGTTGTTAGTTAATTAATTATTTATGTAGTTGTTAGTTACTTATAGTTAAATTACATCTTAGGCATCATCCATGGCTTTATATCAATAAACAAAGAGTTTTATTAATCTCCTTTCACATAAGATAGTTATCTTATGTTGTAGAGAGAAAATAGGTGGGTCCCGCCATTACAAGAAAAAAGAAAAAGAAGAAAAATGTGGGGTGCAAAAATCGAAGTGAGAGAAAATGAGATAAGTTACCTTATGTGAAAAGAGAGTAATATTTCCCATAAACAAATGCTATGCATCATCCATGACTTTATATATAAAAAAAGTGCAGGTAAGGTATGCAATCAGCCAAAAAATGCGTTAACTTTTTTTATTTTGAAAATTGAGGGAAAAGATTACAAAACAGGGCAAGATCTCATAAAAGAAATACCCTTCATATCACAGACCAACAACCCAGTACACTCGGGTGGGACATGCTCAAAAATATGAATCTCCCAGTCGTTAAAGGAATAGCCCAAAAAAGCTAGCCTATCCGCAAGCCTGTTGCTTTCCCTGTACGAATGACTAAGTTTGGTATTCCAAGATCTATCTAACAATTCTCTAATCCCATTGATCAAGGTTCCTAACGGGTGATTCATGACCTCTTCCTGCTG